TATATATATATATATATATATATAAGTTCTCATTTTTTTGTGTAATTTCTTTCATTTAATATTTTTATTATAATTTAATTTAGATTTAATGACAAAGTATTTCTGTTAGAACTCAATAATTATCTTAATTATATTTTAAATATATTTAAAATGAGAATTTTATTCTGTATTTGATTATATTTATCTATAGTTAGTTACACAAATTCAAATATGGAGCTTAATAAGTTGTACTTATGCAAAATTTACTTGTAATCTTGAATTTTAAGTAATATACATTAATAAACACTACTTCATGTATAAAAGATGGTTTTTAAGAATTTTTCTCAAATATCTTATAATATAGTATAGATATATAGAGGAGCTTTACTTTGCAAACCATGTTATTTGTACAAATCGTACAAACCTCGTTCAACAAATCATATTTTTTTTTTCATTTTTTTGTAATTATGAGAGATTGATTAATCATTTTTATTATGGAGAGTGTTAATCATGGATATTATCATCTTCATTATATTAATTTTAAAGAAATACATGAAACAATTTCATTAAAATTTCATAACCATATAAAAAATAATTTCATCTATAAAAGTATTATATGAAGCAATTTCATAATGTTAAACAATCTCATGAAACAAAATCATTAAATTAAACAATAAAATCGACGGATAAGGATGACTTGCACGGCTTGTACAAATAACGGTTGTTTGCATTTGATCATTCTCTCTCTCTCTCTCTCTCTCTCTCTCTATATATATATATATATATATATATGTGTGTGTGTGTGTGTGTCGTATTTTGATCTTCTTCTTCTTCTTTTAATATTCACCTATATATAAATACATATAGGGGTTGGTTAAAATGGAAACCAATTTTCGGTTGTGAACTAGAGGACAAAGGAGAGCGCGACACGTGTCTTAGATCTTCACGGATTATTCATCATGAATAATGTAATATCATTCATGATGAATGAGTATTATTCATTATGACTAGTGAATCAATTTAACGTAGATCATGATCGTGTATTATTCACCATAAATGTTGTATTATTCATCATCAATGTTGTATCATTTATCATGAATAGTTCATGGGCATTCACCTTCGTTATTCATACTAAATGTGGATGTCTGTGTCACACTCTCTTTTGTCTCCTGTTTACAACCGAAAATCGGTTTCCAATTGAACTTATCTCTCTCTCTCTCTCTCTATATATATATATATATGTGTGTGTGTGTGTGTGTGTGTGGGGGGGGGGACATGTTCAAACGGGAAGCTAAACATTTTATGAGAATATAATAAATTTCAATATCATATATGATTACATGCATAATATATGTGTTTAATCATATATCATTAAACACATGTTGTATTGATAACACACAAACGACTAATCATATATGATTAAGCAGATCCAAATGAATATAATCATATATGATATTGAAACTTTTTTTTTTTTATAAAATATTTAACTTCTCATGTATATTATATCTAAATATATATGTAAAATGTTAAGACACATGTCTCTATGTTGTTGTCATTTCATGTTTATTCTTTAATATGTTTTATTATGACTAAAAGATCAGGAAAGGTGACATGTGGTATTTTGTAATAATCCAATCATGAATGTGTCCAAAAATAAAATAAAATCTGATCATGATGTAACTTTTTATATTTCATGATATTTTTTAAATTCAATGATTGCGTGTCTGATTTTTTATATTCTAATTTGATAGAATGGTGTAAGACGTAATCAAATGAAGATGAGTTGAACATGTAATATAAAAACAAACATGTGTACGTGTAGTAACATTTGAGAAGATACAAAGATTGTATTATGTTTCGACCAGTGGTCGCTTCTCGTTTTAAGTTTCAGCTGTAGATGACAAAATGATCAATTGAGATGCGTTTAGTAACGTATCAAAACTATTACAAATTCAAAGCATATCGTAACGAGTGATTTGTCTCGGTGGAATTGTGTTGACCTATAATATTTGTTTGTAATTTTTATAAATAAATTAATACATTAAATATAATTATTAAATTTATATGTCAAATCAAACATTTATAATCTTTACGAAACATAAAAAAAATCTTTGTCATAGGAGGTGTTTGTGATTGTTTATTTGAAACTACTTATGTTTTTTCTACAAAAGCACTTATCAACTTATTATAAGTCAGAAGGGTTTAACTTCTTCAAAAACTCCTTATTACCGGTTTGGTACTAGTATAAGTTGTTTATCTAAACACTAAAAAATGCTTATTACCGGTGTCACACAAGAATAAGTTAATAAGTTGTTTTTATAAGCAATTCCAAACATCCCCATAGTCAAATTATCTACTTAAACAACTGCATTACTATAGACATAATACACATCTTATCATTCTACCATCTATATGTATAATTAATGCAACAATTGGTTGATTTTAGAATAGTTGTATTAATTTCTTTTTTGTCAAAACGAGTACATTTGAATGATACAATAGTTAGATAAAATATAAGGAATAACTAACTGCCTACCATTTTGTTGCAATACATATACATACATACATATATATATATATATAGATATGTATATATATACATAGATATATATATATATATATATACATATATATATATATATATATATGTATATATGTATGTAATGTGTGATTCCTAGAATAGTCATCGTAAATGATCATAACCGATTTAGACATAGATATGATTGAAGAGAAGTATGACATTTTTGTGTAAAAAATCTTTCGAACAAACAAAAACAACAATCGTGTTACATGATATCAGAAATATAATTTATGTAACAAATGAGACATAAATTATTTAAATTGCCAAAAACAGAAAGGCATGATTCAATACGCGTGAAGAAAAGGACCCATTTCATCTTCATTTTCAACCTCACTTTCCATTTTTAGAACCCCGCATAAACCGCGTATTAACACTACCATCTCATCCCCCCTTCCCCACCCAACTCATTATATTATATAGATATAGATATAGATATAGATACAAACATATATAATGTATGAAGATATGCAATATTTAATTTAACTATTTAATTATTTTTAAGTGTTTTTTTTCTTTTCAAAATTTACCCTAAAAAAATTTAAATGTTTATTTTATTATGAGGTATAGGGATTTCATTTGAGTTGAGAACTTGTACACCTTGTGTTATTTTATATCATATTTTTTTCATTCATAGCTTGAATTTATTGTATTGATTCACATATATTTATTTCATTGTTTGTGTTTGTGAAACAAAAAATGCAATTAAATTTTTTTTCATATTTTGAACCAAATACATATGAAACAAACACATTGTGAAACGATTTTTTTTTTGGAGAAATAGAGAGCGTTAATTTTGAAAATCAAAATGTTCTTTCTAATATATGTTATGTGAATAATATCATACATATATATATATATATATACGTAGAGTTGGGTTTCAGTAATAATGAGAGATAAAGTGAGAAACGTAAGAAGGAATCTCCCCCCCCCCTTGATGCACATTAGGATGAGATGCACCAGATCAATCCTCGTATCAAACATGATTCATGGGTGAATTTGAGATTAAAAGTGATCAAGAGTCCTGATCTCTTCTTACGCTTCTTACCTTGACTATTCTTCTCACAGATCCTTCGCCTATATACATATATGTATTTTATTTATTATTTGATAATATAATGATATTATATTTTTTACATTCACATAGACTAAAGTTTGTGATCAGATAGTCAAAATACAGCATGGAAGGGTTTTACAACTTTATTTTAACTTTGAGCCTGTGACGTGTGTGAATTCAAGAAATTGTAAGTGATGTGATTAACTAAGTTTGTAAAAATATAATATCCAAAGTTAAAATTGTAAAAATACAAAAGTTAAAAAACATTTTTAAAGAAAAATTAAAAATTGGAAAAACCCATATCTTGCAAAAAAACGCATGCCATGTGCATAGTGAGATCTCAAGGTGTCATTGTGTGAGTTACGCCTTACACAGACACTATGGGCCTTATGATAACAACGAAGACGCGTTTTACGTCGTCATGACGTGTCTTTTTTAAACACTACTTATATTTAATTCCTATTAAAATTAAGGATTTTTTGATTAAAATTACTAATTTTTATATGATAATTGTCAAATGATAAGAAAGTAAAGTTGATTTAAAAACTTATATATTTTTTACATGAAAAGTATTATACATATGAAATTAAATCAAGATCTATTTTTATAAATTCCATGTTAATGAGCACATGTTTACTCTATATTTTGTTATCATTAAGTATAAAAATTGTTTTCGAATGTCAACATGTGTAAGGTTTGTTATTATTTAATATTTAAGTAGAAATGTAATTTAATATAACTATTTGATTTTGATTTATTATAAAAATATCTTTAATAAAGACAAAATAAAACAACTATTATGATTAATATTACAAATATATTTATTCCAAAAATATATATCACTAATAAGTTCATTTAAGAAGTAAAGAAGTGTTCTTAGTTCTTCATTGGGTTAAAATATATTTTTTATTTCTTAAATAGTTACAATGAACCATTCCCTTCCAATATACTTGATAACTAATGAATAATACAGTCTTAAAACATTAAAAAACAAAAACATAAATTTTAAATCATTATATCTTACAAAAAATTATTAATTATTTTTATAAAATACTAAAAAAGATACCTTACAAAATTCAGACACAATCAAAACTCTTATAATTATAATAATTTGTCAAAAAAAAAAAACAAAAAATTTACAAGTTGAAACATTTGTATAATTATATTAATGTGTGTGTATGTAGATCAAGATTCAGAAAATGAAAAAAAATAAGTGGTACATGAATGAAAAGGACGATGGGGTTTTGCACATAAAGGAATATCTATAAATGGGGCCGCCATTTACTGGTGCCTTTACTTTCACTCACTCTCTTATCCCTTCAAATTTCGTTTTCTTTTTTCTTTTCTTGAAAATAATACCCAACCCCAAAGAAAAAGAAAAGAAAATACCCACTTTCCTCGAAGGTTTGCTCATAAAGTTTCCCCTTTTAAAGCTGTAAACTTGATCTTGAATCTTGAAGCCCCCCTCCCCCCCCCCAAAAAAAAATGGAGATTCTGAGAAATGATGATGATTTGGTGGGGGAGATGATGAAAATGATCGAAACAGTTGGATCTTACATGGGGTTCCGAAGAACACAAAGGAAAGAGTGTTTGAAGCTTGTGAGAAGATTGAAGCTTTTACTCCCACTTTTAGAAGAAATCAAAGAGATGAATCAATCAATACCCACAAGGGCATTGCAGTCTTTTGTTATTCTCAACAAATCACTTCTTTCTGCTAAGAAATTGCTAAAGCATTGCAATTTTGGAAGCAAGATCTTTCTGGTCATTTCCTTTTTTACTGTTTATATATCAAGATCTCAAAAGGGTATTTCTGCCAATATACTAACTTTATGTTTTGTTTCAGGCAATGGAGAGTGATGCAGTTATGAGTAGATTTCATTGTGTGTATGATAAGTTGAATGAAGCTTTAGATGGATTGATGTATCAAGAACTTGGGATCTCTGAAGAAGTTCAAGAACAAGTAAGAGTTTAGTTTTTTTAACATCATCTAAATTCTATATTTTGGTGAATTTGATTTGATGATGAACAACTGTAATTAACATAATAATCGAACTAAATTTAAGAACCAAGAAACAACCTTTTCGTTGTTGGTATTCAACATGATTATCGCATTATTCATTGAGTGGTTTCTGGGTTCATAAAATATTTAAGGAAATGCTTGGATTAAGGAAATTAATTAACATGTAACATGCATTTAGTACAACCTTGTTTGTTTATTAAGGGTCAAAGTTAGAAACACTTGATGTTCACTTGCACATGCAACCATTTTCTGTGATCCAAAGATTCCAAGATTTGACTTTTAAAGGTCAAACAATCTCTTTCAACTTCAAATTTATTTAGATTAATAATCTAGTATTAGAGAAAAAAGGTTGTTACCCATGTAAAAATATCTCATATGAAATACGACAGATGAAGTTTGATGTTAAAGTTTACTCAAGTTCATCTCGAATTACACTGGCTTTGACTTTACGAGTCAAATGCACGGATTCATGGTAGCTGTTGTCTGCTGTGCTAGGACAGGACAGGCTACTACAAATTAAAATCCTAAAACTTTTCATACCTACCCTCGCTTTCACCCGCATACCATACACACCCTTATTCAGTAAAAGTATGCATTATCGAGTAGCTTTTGAGGTTTTGATTTTGATTTTGATGTTCGTAGATTGATCTACTCCGGAAGCAACTACAAGGAGCAAAACGAAGAACGGATACATTAGACATAGAACTAGCCATGGACATGATGGTCATTTTCTCGAAAAATGATGAAAGAAATGCGGATATTGTAATATTAGAGAGACTAGCAAAAAAACTAGATTTATCTTCAGTTGGAGACTTGGAAATCGAGACGGTAGCCGTTAGGAAGCTTGTTAAGGAAAGAGGTACCACGAAGCACGTAGAGAGCACTGAACAAATCGTGGATCTTTTGAGGAAATTCAAACAAGTTGCAGGCTTTGATGAGGTTAACCACAACAGTAAAGTTCTTGAAGAATCTCCGTCATTAAGATGCTTGGAGAGATGTCGGTCTATGCTAATTCCTCATGAGTTTCTTTGTCCAATATCGCTTGAGATCATGACGGATCCTGTTATCATCGCTACCGGACAGGTACGTTTACTCTACTCGTTCGGTTTTTGATTTTTAACGCTATATATATATATATATATGATAAATTTAGAATCATCAAGGGTAAGTTTCATACTTACAGACGAACAATCACTACAACAAAATCGGGTTTATAGGATGTCAAAAATGTTTAAACGTTCTAATAGACTAGTTTTTTGGACCAAACAATTTGTAAGTGTGTTACAATAAGATATACTTAACAAGTTTTTTAGAATAATTTTGATATAAAATGTCCTATTAGTCTTTTTACATAACGTTTTGAAAAATTGTCTTATAAAAACAAATGTCCTATAAACGGATATGCTTACGAGCCTCCTGTAGAAAAGCCAAGGGGACATATCATTTAAAAAAAAGCTAATATGACATATTTAAAAAGAACTAATAGAACATTTTATTTACAAAAAAGAGCTAATAGGACAGCTAGGATGCCCAAACATGTTCCAACAACCTATTGTACCTAGGACTTACAATTGTTTGGTCCTATTAACTGAAGTCCTAAAAGGCAATCTATTAGGACATTTAGATATTTTAAGCCTTCTATAAAACTGATTTTATTGTTTGTCTGGGCTTTCTTTTTCTTTCACATTTTGAAGTCAATTTGCCGCTAAATTTTGTAGACATATGAAAGGGAAAGCATCCAGAAATGGTTGAATTCAAATCATCGAACATGCCCGAAAACGGGTGAAACTTTGAGTCATTTAGCAGTTGCCCCAAACTTTGCGCTTCGCAATCTCATTCTTCAGTGGTGCGAAAAGAACAACTTTGAGTTGCCAAAAAGGGAAAGTTTCTCGATTGCCGAAAACCAAAACGCGTTTCTAGACGAGGTTTCTTTGTTGGTTCAAAATATGTCGTCGAGTCAACTCAGTACACAAAGTCAAGCTGTCGAGAAGATCAGAATGCTGTCAAAAGAGAACCCCGAAAACAGAATCTTGATTGCGAATTGTGGAGCGATCCCGCCATTGGTCAAACTATTGTACTCTCCGAATTGGAAAGTCAGAGAACATTCCGTCACCGCGTTGTTGAATTTGTCGCTTGATGAGGCGAATAAGAGACTTATAGCACGAGAAGGTGCGATTCCTGCTGTTATTGAAGTTCTCCAAAATGGCACAGATGAAGCAAGAGAAAACTCGGCCGCTACTTTGTTTAGTCTCTCGATGTTAAACGAAAACAAAGTGATGATCGGTAGCTTAAAAGGGATTCCACCATTGGTCAAACTGCTAAAAAACGGTACGGTTAGAGGCAAAAAAGATGCTGCAACCGCGTTGTTTAATCTTTCGTTGAACCAATCAAACAAAACTCGAGCAATCAAAGCCGGGATCATTGAGCCGTTGCTTCATCTTTTGAAAGAGAAGTCATTAGGGATGGTTGATGAAGCCCTTTCGATTTTGTCGATTCTTGCTAAACAGCCGGAAGGGCAAAGCGGGATCGGGCAGTTATCGGTTATCGAGACGCTTGTTGGGTTCGTTAAGGATGGAACCCCGAAGAACAAGGAATGTGCGACGGCAGTTCTTCTGGAGCTCGGACTGAGTAATTCTTGTTTGATATTGGCTGCACTTCAATATGGTGTTTATGAACATTTGGTGGAGTTGAGTAGATGTGGAACAAGTAGAGCTCAAAGGAAAGCTAATGCACTTTTGCAACAAATGAGCAAATGTGAGCACATTCTTTAAGGAACTGTATATCATCATCCTGAAACCAACTGTGTTGTGTTATATAAGGTAACGGTATCTGAGCTGAGTTGAGTTGAATTGAGTTGTTTCTTGTAAGATGCCGATTTGGTTCCCGAGTCATTTTAAAAGAAAATGCGAGAATTAATATATATATATATATATATATATATATATATATATATATAGTACAAGTGTTAACCTCATGAATTCTATAGTTTGTTGTTTTTAAACCATGATGATATTTTCAAATTTGTTTAAAATAATTTGTCTTTTTTCAATAAAATCAAATTCATTTATTTAAGAGTTGTAACATTTATGACAAACAATGTATGGTCATTTTGTAACATCCATGATGATTTTCATTTTCATGCAAGTGCCCAACATTGGGTAACATTCTCATGGCTTGTTTACCAATTTTTTATTAAATCTTATATGGATGAATTTGTCTGTTTAGATAAATGAGTGTTGTTGTTTACCTTTTTTTATCTGAACCAACAGTCTGAATAACATAAATGACCAATTTACCCCCCACTATTAATTATTTGAATATCAAAACATAAAATCATAAAGAGGCCGACGATGGGGTGTCTCATCTGGGAAGGAGGCGATGCTTTAAATAAGGGGCATGTGTGTCATTTTTGTGGCTGAATGGGTACAACACACCAATTCTATCTGTGCGATTAAGTCATGTTCTATGCGAATAAACCATAAGTAAACAACCCAAATGAGCTGTGCGAATAAAGCCAGATAGACCAATAAGCTTAATTAAGTCGCAAGTAAACAACCCCTCACTGTTGTATGAAGTCAAGAACCTCGATCGATCAAGAGAATCAAAACAAAATATTAAATGTGGGACTGAAGTTAATAGAAGAGAAGAAGCTTTATTATTCCTCAAGAAAAAACACATTACACTAGTCGTAGATGTTGATGAACTAGTTCATACTATTTTCTCCATGATTCTAGAGCATCTATTAAGAGATATTTATAGATCGCTAAACCTAATATGAAAAGGATAACTAAGAGTTTCATAATCCAAGTCCGATAAGGAAACCCAAAAGTTTCCAAAAAACAAAAGTTCAAGGCATTATCTCAACAACTCTCCATCTTGACTTGAATTGTTCAGACCAGAACATCTCCCCTTCTATGCAGATGTATCATGAGGTACCCAGATTACTCTTTTAGGAATACCAGATATGTTCCTGAAAGAGCACATATACCTATTTGCTCTATGAAAAAACCCAGATTGTCCCTTTATGGGACTCAGATGCACCCCTTAGGGCTTCTTCCAGCTATTAAAATTTACCAAGTCTTAAGTAGTGACTAAATTTGCTAAGTGGTACTGGCTTCGTAAACATATCGACGGAGTTTTCATGCGTGCTGATTTTCTCTACTTTAACTCACTTTTCGGTAAGAAAGAAGTGATACCTAATATCTATATGTTTAGTTCTTTTATGATGTACTTGATCCTTCGCCAAACATATGGCACTCAAGCTATCACAATAAAATTGTTGCATGATCGTGGTGGATACCAAGATCACTTGCTAGACCTTTCAACCAAAACCCCTCTTTTGCAACTTCAGTTAGTGTCGTGTAATCTGCCTCTGTAGTAGACGTAGTGACTGTTGGTTGCAAAGTTGCCTTCCAGCTCAGTACGAGGCTACCGAGAGTGTAAACATGATTGGTCATGGGATCTTCTACCATCAATGTCAGCGGCATAGTCTGAGTTTGAATGGCCTAACTACTAGGCATTCTGATATGCATTGATTATTCAATGCATAAAGCATTCATTTCTTTGCTAATTAGGTAGTTTATTTTCTTTTATCCCAACCTTGAGTCATTTTTATTACATTATTTTTCATTTGTTTATATTTGGAGCTAAATTAAGTGATTAGCTTGTCTTTGCACAATTAGAGTAGAAAAATAACTTGAAAGCATAATGTTCTGTGTTGCAGCATTTCAGCAGCATTGAACTGTCATAAAACGACTTTTTGGGAAGAGCTTAAGGATTCAGCTGCCGATTAAGGAGTAAGACAAATTTTTGTTAATCCGGTGGATAAGGACCTCTACAGTTGGGATGAAGGATTTTGGAGGTTACTTTTACTTTTGATGTGATGCTCTCTTTTTATCTTTTTGCTTTTTGTCTCTCTTTTTGGAACATTTGTTTTCCCAAAGCTTTTGTCATTTTGTTGGGATCTTTTATACAAATAGGACTCTTGGTAGCTCTTTTGAATCATCCTAAAAACACCGAAGAACCAGATCTATAGTTCATATGTTTATACAAGTTAGTTTTTAATTTTCTTTAAATAGTGTTCTTCATTATGAGTTGCTGCAACATTGTTCTTACTTTATTTACTTTTCTTGTCATTTAATTTCCACTCTTTACATTCAGTCATTACTTTCAGCCATTTATATTTATGGCTTTACTTTCTGTTGTTTATATTTCATGTCATTTATTTTCCTTGATGAGTAGTTAATTTCATTAGCTTGGGTGTAAGACAAATGGTGAAATGTTAAACTAGAGGAAAGTGGATGTTGTTTCATAATAACAATGTTCTACTATTTCATTCAAGTTTTTATAAAAACCAATTACACTTATTGACGAGTTGATCACTTTGAAAGTGTTAAAGTGTCATGATCTTAGAGATAAGTCATTGAATGCACGACAACTTGAATGATATAAGATGTAGACTTGAGAAAGTTGTCGACAAGAAGACTTGTTATTTATGTATTTCAAATAAATTAATTCTCGAAAGGTTGGTCGTTTGTTAAGAGTGTTAAAGTGCGGTAGATTCAGAGATAAACTATCTAGAACACACACCAACTTGAATGATATGGGAATCGGCTCGAGAGAGCGATTTTAACAAAGATATTTGTTTATCTATATATTTTGAAGACACCATTTTGTCACTGTCCCTGGTTCGGATACCACATAGAGATATGAGCTGAAAGCTATAATATAGTGCAATGGTGAAGTCCGAGAAGAATATCTTCAAAATAGATGGTGTAACTAGTTTTGGCTTACTACATGCTATATCATTCCCACAACATTGTCTGCTGGAATTTGTGTTTACATTTCACCATAAGTCTTACATCCATGCTACCCCTTTATATTATGTTATTTTATCATTGTTAACTCAGAATCAAACTGAAGTCTTCAATTTCATCATCTGAAATCATCTCTTTCATTGGACTCTTATTAAGTCTTTGCTACAATCTCCATGGATGATATTCGATTTTTACCACTTTATTACTTGAAAAAGACGACATTGGACCATATTGTATACTTGTTTTGTGGTTCCTTTTATAAGTCTAAGGGTGTGAAAAATAACTTACCACATTTTGAGTCATTCCCGCCATAAATAAGACCAATATTTGCAGTTCCTTTCAGATAGCAGAGTGTTCGTTTTACAGCTTGCCAGAGCTCCTTGTCGGGTTGAGCCATAAACCTGCTAACAACACTTATGGCATGTGCAATATTTGGTCTAATGTAGACCATATCGTACATTAGGCTTCCTACTACGCTGGCAAACAAGACATAAAACATCTGTTCTTTTTCAGCTTCGGTTTGTGGTGCAAAAACAAGAGAAAGACGTGCATTTGCAGCGACAGGGGTAGGTAGGGACTTAGTTGAGCTCATCCTGAAACGAGTTAGAACCTTTAGAATGTAGTTTTTCCTGTGACAAGAACAATTTCTTCTGGATTCGATCTCTAACAATCTCCATACCTAGAATTTTTCGAGCTCTATCCAAATCTTCCATGTCAAACTCTGAATTGAGAAGGTTTTTCAAGTTTTGGATGTCTGACATATTCTTTGTTGTGACCAACATGTCATCTACATAAAGGAGTAGATAAATATATGAACCATCTTGTACTTTGTTGTGATAGACACAACAGTCATACGGGCTCCTGTTAAATTCATGTTTGGTCATAAAATTGTCGAATTTTTTGTACCATTGCCAAGGAGACTACTTTAGTCCATACAAGGACTTCTTTAGACTACAAACATGTGTTTCCTTTCCTGGTTCATGGAATCCTTCAGACTGATTCATTATGATATTTTCTTCGAGCTCCCTGTTTAAAAAAAAATCCGTCTTCACATCTAGTTGTTCAAGTTCCAAGTCATGTTGTGCTACTATAGCAAGGAGCATCTTGATATAAGTGTGTCGTACTACCAGAGAGAATATGTCATTGTTGTCTATACCTTCCTTTTGACTGAACCCTTTTGCTACTAGTCGTGCTTTATATTTGATGTCTTCAGCATTAGTGGCTCCTTCCTTTTCCTTGAAAATCCATTTGCAACCAATGATTTTTCTCCCTTTTGGTGGTGGTACCAGTTTTCAAGTCTTGTTTTTGTGAAGTGACTCCATCTCTCCACTCATAGTAGCAACCTAATATGCAGATTCATGGCAACTGACAGCTTCACTATATGACGATGGCTCCGCAGACTCGACGTCTTCAGCAGCTTGGAGTGCATATCTCGCCATCTCTTCAGAATAATTTATCTTTCTTCCCTCAATCTCTTCGATCAATCTACTTGGAGCCCTTCTTTCCTTGTATCAGGGAGTACTTGCTTCAGATTGTTCACCAACCTGTGATTGACCTTTTTTTACCAGGGTCTCAATGGTTTCATGTATTGTGTTTGGATTTTCTGGGAATAAAAGTACCTCTTGCTCCCATTATTCAACGGTGTCGTGGTTTGTGTCTAACATTGATTTTCTGGTTGTGTCAAACATGAGTATTTCATCAAATGTCACATCTTTGCTTAATATAACTTTTGCCTTCGGATGGTGACCACATTCTATATCATTTAACGTCCATCTCTGTAACCCATGGAAGTTCCCTTTCTTGCTCTAGGTTCAAGTTTGCCTTCGCTTGCTTCTTCTCTTTTGATAGTAGTACCCATAGTCCTTGTGATTTAAGCAAAGCTCTCATTTTGATCTACCATAGACCAAAACTGTTTCTCCCTGTAAACTTGTTGACTTTATATACTCATTGGTGACATCATTTCGCCTGATTACAAACATGGATGAGTAGTGGACCGAACCGGCCCTCATACCAGTTTGTTGTACGAAATCAAGAACCTCGATCGATCAAGAGAGACAAAACAAAATATTAAATGTGGGACTGAAGTTAACAGAAGAGAAGAAGTTTTATTATACCGAAAGAAAAAACAGATTACAATAGTTCCAGATGCTGATGAACTAGTTCAAACAATTTTCTCCTTGATTCTAGAGCATTTATTAAGAGATATTTATAGATCCTCTGAACCTAATTTGATAAGGATAACTAAGAGTTTCCAAATCCAGGTCTGACAAAGAAACCCCAAATGTTTCCAAAAACAAAAAACAAGATATTATCTCAACACTCACTTAAATGTGATATAAAATAATGGATAAGTTAAAATAAAATAGTTTCCATCCTCGGAATTAACTTAGCTGAATAGTGGAAGATTTTCCTTGGTTCACATGTCATTTCTAAACATTTTATGAAACTTTACACTAGACTATCAACATGACTAGCACATGGAGTATACCTTTGGTCCCTAACCTTTTGGTTTCCCTTCTCCAACATGTGGAAGAGTTCTTTCATATAAGCTAGCTTATTACTTTTTTTTTTGAAAGCTTATTACTAAGCTCAATATCTTCTAGGTTTTTTGCTGATGATTCATAAGCTACACATTTTCTCCAACTTAGACACATGAAACGTGTCAGCTATACCACTTAGATCATCTACTAGCTTTAATCAGTGAGCTACCACTCTTACCTTTATAATAATCTCAAATTTCCTAACATACTTCAGACTCATTTGGTTTCTCTTTCCAAACCTCATGGTTCCTTTTCCATGGTGATATTTTAATACCACTTTGACCGAAAAAACATAAAGTTTTACAACATTAGTACATTCTTTTGTTGTAGTGTAGGCAGATGACACCATTCACATCATACATGGTTCTGCTTCCACTGGAGTTGGAAATGGAAATGCTAGCTCCACCCCTGTGGTTGGTGAAGGTGGCTTCCCTGTTTCATGGTGGCATATTCCTGAATTTAGACAAGTTCAACTCGAGCAACAACTAAATCAGAACCCCAATATGATAAGAGATATAATAAACATGTCGGCAATTCAAAACCTGATGAATAACCCTGAGATGATGCGTGAAATCATTGACTGTAATCCCGAGCTTGTTGAATTTTGTTCTTTTTTGCACTTTTCATGCATTCCATATGTCATTACGTTGCTAGTTATTGTTACGTGACTATGGGAATGCCAAAAAAATGAATGAAAATGTATAACAATATGGATGTCAAATTACTGATAATAATCTATGTATACATATTTGATGATTTTACTTACATAATCTACAACAAGTAATTGCCAATGACACCACCAAACTCCACCTTTTTCCCGGTTTTGAAGAGGAAGAATGTAACCATGAGAAGAGAGAAGAATATGTATGAATTGTTGAAAACAATTTTATATTAGTAAAAAAAACAATAAAACTTAAACCTTTAATAACAAAGGTTAAAGCTTTACTAATGAGCATAATATAAATAAATCTATTAAAGCTAAAAACTTTATTAATCAAGATGACAATTTCAGAATCTGGAATATAGAAACTCCAATAAACAGATTGCACAACACAAATTGAATCTATATCCTTCATGACAGTTTCAACAGAAGAAAGGGGTAGAAGCAGACTTGTTCACTTAGTGAACAAAAAAGTTAAATTGTAATACAGTAATTTAAAACCAACATGTTTGTGACGACGTAAAACAAAAAAATCTGAACAAAATAAACCTGTCCTTAAAGGTTTTATACGACCACTCTATAAGTTGTGGTGGTATTGCGATTGTCAACAGTTTTGACACCGAAACAAAGAAAACTAGATGCAGAATTGATGGCACCAACATGTTCAAGGCCCGATGAAGCCTAATAAGGTCCTTAATGTTTTGTCTTCCTACCAATGCGTAATGGAGAAAAACCTCCAACCTCACTTAAATTTCCAAAATGAACTTATGTTATTTTTTCTAAATATATGTTTTGTAAGTAGAAAAAAATGAACACTTTATGTTGTCCCACCAAAATAGGTGGAGAAAAATGTGGGATATGAAACATGATTGATAAAATACTAAACTATCTTTGTCGAATTAAGTTCTAAAAACTTATACAGTTATTTCATTCCTTGTCTTACTCTTACACGTCTAGTCCAGTTCACGTATGAAATGCATAAGGAGAATTTGGTTGAGATGGTAAATTTGGTAGTGGCTATAGATATTCCCTATTTTTTAACATGTAAATACTCAACTGTATATTAGTTTTTGTTTTGTTGTTGTCGATTATGTATTATTTTCTTCAAATAATTAGACTTTTTGCTCTTTTACATATAATACTAACGGACCAAGTTTATGTAACTCAATTATCTGAGCTTCAAGAGATGGGATTCTTTGATACCCAAGAGAATATAAGGGCATCCCTGGCTACTCAGAAAATGTGCATATTGCTATAGAATGATTTTTAAAGAACTTTGATCAATTTCTGTGTATAGATGTAAAGTTTTGTAGGATGATTTTATAAACAACATAATGCAGTCTTTTTTTTCTTTTTTCTTTGAATAATAATTGATAGAAAAGTAGGAAGAAAGTTTGAAGTATTGGATAATGTAAAACTGGATGTTTAGTTTTGTGGGTAATGGTAATGGTAATGGCTATCTACATACATTTCATGAAATGCGTCAACTTTCTTTTATATGCCAAATATTCTTAAATCCAATGATTTATTGGTTGTTGGTATTAAATTGGATCACACTTCGATTGATTTTATAAGGTCTTGAAGTTGACAGTTATACTTAACTAGTGACCTCTGGGGTTGTTATGTTTCTTTGAGGTTTGCTTTGACAAGTGATTACAAATTCGAATTATTGGTATTTTTTTTCTTTCAAACCGCGGCTTCACAAAGTCGAGAATGCAGTTGGTGATAAAGGAAAAATTTGTATTTTCTCGAAAAATAACATGGGTTCCCGAATGTTACCTTAAGCTATACAATGCATGATTTGTGCTTTTTATTTTTATTTTAAATACAAAAACGATCAGACATAATTCTATCTATTTTGTCTTTTCTTTTTAACAAAAAAAAAAAAAAGTCTATCAAGTGGTTCATAAAGTATTAGATTGTATATTCAAATATTTACTGGCGAAGTTGTTATAATATATATATTTTTTTGTATAGATCATTTATGGTAAATAAAAAATTTTAATATAAACTAGTCGAGTCAAATATACCAGATCTTACGTTTATTAATCATATAATTTAGTAAAATCGAATCATAATTATTTATAAAATTGTGTAACATATAGTGAAGTATTGTAGCATGATGTGTTATTATAGTATTTTTTTAATTCAACTGAAACTTTTTATATAATCTATATTATATTATAAAGTATTTGACAAAAATTCTTAAAAATCATTTTTTATGCATGAAGTAATGTTTATTGATGTATATTATTTAAAATTCAATATTACAAGTAATTTTACAAAAGTATAACTTATTAAAGCTCCATTTTTAAATTTGTGTAACTAACTGCAGATAAACATAATCAAATACATGATAAATATTCATTTTAAATATATAAAATCTAAATTATAATTAAGATGATCATTAAGTTCTAACATAATTTTTAATTATTATTTTTATAAAAAATTATATTATTAGATCAAAAACAAATTACTTTGTTATTAAATCTAAATTAACATATAATAAAAAATTGAATTAAATAAGTTACACAAAAAAAACGAGAATTATTAAATAGTTAATTTGATACTAATATCGACTTATTTTTTTCAAATTTTTATGTTATATGCAATTTTATATTTCATTCAAAAATAAAAACATTATCGTGTTCTCAAAACTATATAAAATTGTATTATATCGATAAAAAAAATAAAAAACTAAACATTAAAATAAAAATAAAAATTTATCTTTTTGTATTGCGCAAATTTTCTTCTAGTATAATAAAAGATAATTTGATGAGGCGATTAGTAAATAAGATATTTTTGTTGGGTATTTATTTATTATTTTTAATGGTAAAATAAAATAGTGTGAAGTAATATTTTAACGGGAAGTTAACGAACAGCTTTGGAGTTCATCTGATCACTTGGGAACCGAAACCTTCTTCGGCTCTTTTGACACGCCCACGCTACCAGAATTCTCAATCCTCCATATCTTTCAAGGTAATCTTTTCATCTTCTTTCTCTCTTTTAATCGCCTTATTCTTGAGCTTTTCTGTTGTTTCACTTGTTAAATTTCATGTATTCTTGCAGCAATTCGTAGAAATCGATTTTCTTTTTTCAAATCAGAGCTTCCTTCGTTTATGTTTTAGTGAAATTGGAAACCCAAGTCGTCTATATTTGTGGGAAATTGCAAGTTTTTTATACCGTTAGGTTTACTGATTTTCGAATCCTATTTGGTGTTTTATTGTTCACGAATTTGATGCCAAATAGTTTGGATAGATCTAGAGGAGTTGGTTCTCGGTGTTTTCTTACAACTCAATGAGCATTCCATTCATTTTTTATTGATTTATGATTCTTATGGTATTGAATTCCGAATTTCTGATAATCATCACCAACTACATTTGGTACTGTTTGAGAACATGGAATTCTGAGCCACGGAAATGGAATTGAAGCTCATTTGCTTCAAATTCTCAATTGATTTGCTTCAGTTCCAGATCCAAGGCATAATTGGAGTTCCTAGCGTACCCTTTATGATTTCCCCGAACTGTAGGTGGAAAGAAAAAGTGGTTGCTTGAGAATCTAGGTTTTATGTTTTTTTTCCCTTTTCTGATTAATAATAACCTATATGGAGGGAAATAAGTGTAAATCTGGTCTCAACTTTGAACTCAATTAGTCATTGGAGATAGCTGCTTTGGGAATTATGATCAATGGACTTAGAGAGCAGCAGTTAAAAGATGAGAGTCAGCTAGTTGACAGCAGATTAAGATTGTAGGATTTGACTTTATTTAACCTTCTTATCCATGAATGTACAAATTAGCTTCATCAAGTCAAGATATTTTAGCTAATTATTATTTTTCTTGTTGTGGCTATGAACTTATCGTTGGATGGCTAATCATTAAGCCACTACCAAACAGTCATGTATAGCTGACCGAATAATCTGTGAGTCACATTAAACTCATTAAGCTGCTAACAAACAGACCCTTAATGCCTCAATTTTGGCACGGTTACAAAATAAGGTATTTGTTTGTGCGAAAAGGAAACTCAAATCAGGCCTTGTTTGTTAAGATAAACTCAAGTAAACTCTCAAGGTCTTAAGGAATCGTATTAACACAAGAATATGTAATATGCACTGCCTTCCTTTTCCTGTTCTATCCTGATTCAGCTGTAGCAAACAAAGGGAGGAAACATGTGAACCCACAGCAGGTTATAGGTAAGATGATTTAGAAGGTTATCTTATTTGAAAGAGACCCCGTCGTTGTTGGGGTCCCGAAGAGGAAAGGAGGATGCTTATATTTGGTACTAGAGACGAAATTCAAAGAAATGGGGTCTTTCAAAGTTCCTCTGAGTGTCCATTGACTTCTTAACTTGGCTGCAGTATATTATTTCTCAGGTTCTCTTATACCAGTTTGTCAAGAACTTTTGTTGTTAAGTGATGCATAAATCTAAAAGGTTACCAATATATGATTTTTAAGCCAATCAGGTGTTCATAACTAGTATCTGTCTTAGAAATCATATGCTTTTGACATAATAGAATATTGAAAGGAAAAAAGCATCCAGGTTATTTGTAAAAAATTCAAGGAAACTGCTGCGAGGGACTTTGCAATATATCTATAGAATTTTAAAGAAATTTCAGTGCTATTTCAAAGAGCCATTGCCAATCTTGAAGAAGCTGAACCTAAAGTTGTACATGTGACACAGTCCATGGATAAGATTAAAAATTTACATTATAATTCCTTCTGAATGATGTAATTAACTTTAGAATCTGGATCTATTTTTTACGATAGGTCTTTGACGTGAAGTCTAGAAGCGTCCACCAAAACTCTTAAGAGATATTCAGGAAATATACACACACACATATGTATATATACAAATACATACAGGCGGGAGTTCAAACGAGAACGCCCCTGTTTTGCGAAAATACGAGAACAGTTCAAGGCCTCCAAATTAGTTGACACATAATTAAAATTATAAAAAATGAAAATATAAAATTAAGGGTTTAATGTAATTTTGTATTTTTCATCAATTTTATGTTTATCTTAATTGTTTGTATTTATCCCTTAATTTCCATATAGCATACTCAATTACAATATCATACCAAATAACGGTGTTAGTAGAGTGTGTGATACAAAAGAATGCCTCCTCAGTACATCCATTGATGCACAAACAATGTTAGTAATCAATGTGATAATTGTGTGATACAAAACAATACCTCCTCAGTACAGACATTGATGCAAAAACAATGTTAGAAGTCAATGTGCTAAACATGTGATACAAAACAATTGAAGTAATGGGATTTAGAAAATTAGTTAATCAAATGCACCCAGTGAAACAAAATCAGTGTGAGGAGGCGGTGTGATAAACATGTGATACAAAATCAGTGACTGAATAAACCTAGTGATGCAAAAACAGTGTTAGGAGTCATTGTGATAAATACGTGATTGATTACAATAGAATTAATGTGTTACAGAATCATGTGTTCAATACACCCATTGATGCAAAAATAGTGTTGGGAGTCACTATGATAAACATTTGATAGATAACAATCAAGGTAATGGTTTTACAAAATGAGTTATTCAATAAACCAGTGATACAAGAGGAGGCATTGTGATAATCGTGTGATAATCTGTGATAATGGTGATTTTGTTGTGATAATTGTGAATTTGGTGAGTAGATAGGCGGATGAGACAGAAGGGGGGGGGGGGGAGATGAGGGTGATAGATGTGGTGGTTATTTATGATTAATGTGATCCCTAAAATATTGGATCAATGATTAATTATTATTATTGATTTTGTAAAAGTAAGTTATTCCTGAATTAGATGATGTGGTAGGCCCATAGGTGTTCTTGCGTTTCGTAAATAAGGAGTATTCTCGTTTGAACCTCTCCCCATACATACATAGTACACATGAATTCATAACAGATGTTTGAATTTGATAATGAACATATAATTCGTGTAGCCTTTTGTTGACCCTTTGCCTTTTTACAACTAAAATTGCAGCAATGGCCAATTGAGGTTGATGTGTGGATTAGTTGGAATCCAATGTTGTTCAAATAATGTGCATCTGCTAGCATGATATTTTTAGTGTATAAACATTATCTGGTGCAAGATTCTTAAGCGTTTGATCCTTCAATTGCATCTTATGAAGTAATTCTATGGGGGCAGGTTGACTAACTCTGGATGGTTCAACAAACTGATTCTAAGTTCAGTGAGTACGTTCTGGCAAATTCAGAAACTGGTTTTCCAAATCATGATAAGAAGACAGCTTTGAGAGATTTGCAAAATGAAAATAGGAATATGGGCTTCAAATCAGATGGAAGCTCTCTTTTGAAAGACAATGGGCCTGCTGTTGAAGCTGTTAAGGTTTCTGGCACTAAAAGACCCCAACCCGAGTGTACAATGAGATCTCCTCACCAACAAACGCCTGTCAGTAATAACGGACATCTTGTGTATGTCCGCAGGAAGACTGAATCAGAACAACATAAAAATAGCAACTGTAACAAAGCAAATGATCAACCTAAGAAACTATATGAGCATGATGAAAAGAATCATGGACAATATCCGACAAATGATTCTACAATATGTACTCGCAAAAATATTTCTGAGCCAAAGACTTCTGAAGGCGTTTCCTCTACAGCACCTTTAGTCACTCTTGATTCTGGAAAGTCCAATATAACTTCGCCCGTGACAGATTCCAGTTGTCTTAAATTGGATAATCCTAGGGGATTAAATATTCCGCATTGGGAAGAACGATATTTACGATTGCAGAACTTTTTAAAGGCCTTGGATCTGTCAAACCAAGATGATTATCACCAGAGTATGTGCTTTCCTCTGTATAACTATGTTATGGTTTTTTTGTATGTCCAATCGCAATAAATTCTGACTCCTTTTTGGTTAACCCATTTGTCAGTGCTTCGCTCTCTTTCCTCAGTTGGCCTTAGCAGAATTGCTGTTGAACTAGAAAAGAGATCAATTCAGCTCTCCTTGGAGGAAGGTAATATTTAACTGCAGCCTTTTTAGGGGAAGTGGAAAAGATGCTAGTATGCTTAAATAGTTAAATTATATGTTGACTCAAACCCTATCAACCAAATATTGTGAACCCATCAGACCCCTTCATGTGCTGTCACTATATCCCTACCAAAATCTTCAACAACCTCCCCTCACTTAAACTTTCTATGGGTGCTCATATTGACTCATACAAAGATATATGAAACAACCACCTAAAGAAACAGAAAAATGCTGAAACGAAACAAAACAATATAAACACGGGCCAAAACAAGAACAATCGAATTTTCAAGAGCCAACTGAAAATTTTGCAGACCGTAGTTCGTTCCTTTGCTTGTAGTCATAACTTCAGATGGAAATTAATTTTCAAAAAGAAGAGCTGTGGCTAAAGAGTGGACAGCATATCAAGCATAATTCTCAATACCAAAAAATTGTATTAATCTAGTCAAAGGGGAAGACCTATTATATCTACAGGGAAAGCCGGCTCCAGTAAAGGCAAAGAACTAAAATAACATGCATACTGGAGGTTCATGCAAAATAGCTAGAGCAGCCGATATTAATGCTACTCTATTACCTCCACCATATTCCATGAATAAGAGCATAATAATCTCAAATTTAAGGATCCTGCCACAAGCTATACTGTTGTTGAAGAACTATTTATGATAGGTTTAAACCCTTCTTTCCAGGGATGTCTAACTTGATCCATATAGCTTTAAAGACTAGGGGGGATCAGTATAACAGAATATACTTGGCAGGTTTAATGGATTTAACTCCATCCTTTATAATCAGGCATAATGTCCTGAAGAACATGATGAGAGGTGGAAGGGGACACAAAATCGTACCTGATTTTTGTTCCTCAAGAGCACCAAACTCCCAGCAGATGAACAACAGCACTCTTTAGCGTGTCAGAGACAGACCCAGGACTGCAGATTGGAGTCAGAATCCTCAGAACTCAACTTGGATCACCTTCTATACGACTTTTGTGTATGCTTTTTTTTGTTTTTTTTTTTTGGGGGGGGGGTGGGGGTTCAATCTACAATCTACAGTAAATCCACCTAAATGGTGTGATTTGAAGAACTGTTTAGCTAGACAACATCCCAGTTGAATCCAACTTATCAGCAATATCCATACGGAGATGAATAATCTTGTAGAAGCACATTGTATGAATTGTCATGCCCGAAGACAGCATTCCCATTCCAACAGGCCTTCTAGGTTAAGGGAAAAGGTCGACAACAATGTTGGCAATATGGACATGTGAAGTTGCGTCTTCTGCTCATAAAGAAACTTTTGGTAGCTAGTGGTTAAGAGAGACACCCTGGGGCTTATTTTTGTCATTTTGATTTGAGCTTTGATAATCTTCAAGACAATGGGGCTATTACGTTGATAGGATTTAATTATGAAATAACGTCTTCCAGTAGAATTTGATGTTCAGATCTTGAACTAAACGACTTCAAATTCAAACTCCAGATATAAAGTGGAATTCCTAAACACACTTGTTCTTTTTTAGTCATTGAATTAGTTTTGATGGATTAAGATGCTTTTAGTTTGAAATGGCAATCTTTTCAGATAGGCGATATATTCTTGAATTATGCACACTGTTACATTCTGAGTGAATATGAAATACTATTCTCTTTGAACTTACAGCACGAGAGGTCCAACGTGCAAAACTTGTGGACGTGTTGGATAAATTTCCAAGAAGTGTTGGAGAACACCAGTCAACGAAGTGAAGCGGCATGGTCTTGGTCAAGTCAATTATGCATCCGAATGAAGCCCGCGAGTTTGTCATCTTCCCAACCTCTCTTGTATTATTCTGGTTAGCTCTTCCTGCTCAACACCTTAGTTTCCTTGCTCGTCAAACTTGACCAATTGTGTGGTTAAAGTTCTGTTTGTGTAGCTTTATTTAGTGTTCTTTTCTCCCCTGAAAAATAGTCGATGCAATTGTTAATAGTTACTATCTTTTTTCCTTTCATTTCTATTGTGACAAGTAATTGTCTTTTCGTGTGCAAAAACCAAAAATAGTAATTGATGATATGTTCATTCTCGCTTGATCTTGAATACATCTTACTAAATAAATATAGATAAATCATATATTGTAGGGAGGTGATTCTTATAAGTATAATGAAACGGATATAAACTTCTCTGAATTTGACTCTTTCTCTTCCGGATAAAGTCCTACCAAAAGATAAACATCACATAACTGAAAATAACTCCCTATCTCACACACACTGTGTGTAACCGTCCCCACTACCACCACTACTTAAAGAACCCATTTCTTCATCTTCTTTTTTCTTTTTCCCAACCTTGATCCTCTTCTCTTTAAATGTTTTCTTCCGAAAAGATGAACAAAGACATGATCTTGGGTACTACTACCAGTAGCACTTCATCAGATTTGCAACTCTGTCCTGCTTCTCCGGATGCCCGAGAGATTTTCCGTCCAACCATCCATTTTTCTGATGAATGTGGTGGGAATTTCCATCCAATAAACTTAAAGCCCCACCAGCAGAACCCCAGAAAGAAACGAAGCAAGATGATGAGAGTCCAGAACATAAAGGCCATTGTTGGTGGTAGTGAGGCCAAGCATGGAAAGAAACCTGAGGCTGGTGGTCCTACTAAGATCAGCCATCCATGTAGTGAGTGTGGGAAGAGTTTTTGGTCATGGAAGGCTTTGTTTGGCCACATGCGGTGTCACCCCGAGAGGCCATGGCGTGGGATCAATCCACCACCCAATCCGTATAACACCACAACCAATGAAGACAGGTATGTGGCTTCGTGTTTGTTGATGCTGGCCAAGGGTCCAAGCCATTATGAGGAGTGCAAGAAGAACGTAAAGGGGTGTTTAGGGAAAATGCGAAGGGAAGGACCGAAGAAGAGGTGGCATTGGGAGAGAGAATCAGAAGATGTAGCAGCAACATCAGTATATAGGTTGGATTTGAACCTGCCTGCTGATGCACCTCCACAAGATTATTCAAATTTGGGTTTGGATTTAAGATTAGGACTTTGATACAATGAATCATGTATAAAAAACTACTGTCTTACTATATATATGTATATGTATGTATGTATGGATGTATATAGTTGGTTTTCTAAAATGGAGCATAGGATTTCATCTTCTAGAATCTTGAATTATGATGTTAGAGTTAGACCCCTGTGGCTTGAAATATTGGGTTGTAGATGGATGATAATGATTGTCGACTGGAAATTTTGTGTACAAGGCCCAGGTTGATATCGAGCCCAATAAACTGCAGAAAAGCCCAATTGTTTTGATATAATCATATATTCATAAACATTGTGTGTATGCTATGCATAATGTATGTGTTTAAGACAATTAGCTGGATATTTTAAAAGAATTGGATCAATGTAGAGCTAAATATAGAGATGTATTCTTTACTATACATATATATATAATTGATAACAACTCCTAATTTAACATCATCATCATCATCATCTATGATTTATGAACGGCATAAGTTTTTAAAATTTAAAATCAATGTATACCTTTGTAAGTAAATTCTTTTAAAATTTAAATTTATTTTAAATATAATTATGTTTTATATACATAGGGATGATGATATATCTATACTATATTATAAAGTATTTGACAAAAACTTTTAAATAACCACTTTTTATGCGTAAAGTACTGTTTAT